TTGACAATACTTTCAGGGATAGACCATAAGATGGAATGAATTCATGGATGTCACTTTTGAATGTCTAAAAGTGATGCATGAATCCAAATTATAATAGCATTCTTAGAAGCCCGTCTTATTGAAAAATTATTACTCACCGTCGCTCTTGGAGGTCAATCAATTATATGTTTAAGGATGTAAGGGTAGCTGAAAGGTACCTTTTTTCTTTTTTTATTTCAAATGTTCAACCAAGAGAAGGCCTTAGGATCAGTCAAGGAATTGTTGTATCAGCGGTAATTGCTTGATTTGTCCGTTTAATGGTAAATCAAATCCTTATGGGTCATTTAATAACGAAATTAAATTTTGAAGTAATAAAAATATGTTATTCTTCTTTCACATTAGAATACATGGTAGATGATACCCAGCTTTTGTGCATATACATGTTTGTCTGAACATAATTACTAGAGGCGGTTATGATTTTCATGTAGTGATCTTGTTGAAGTTATATTTGAGAAAAGAGTTTGATTTAAGAAATACTTGGATATTATATGAATTAATGATATGAACGTTCTTTTATGTTGGTTGTTTGGATTTGGTGAAGTCGCTAGAATTTATTTATAGTTGCATATTGTTTGTATGTTATATATTTATACTGTTGCTGTAGCATACCTACGGACGATAAGAGGTATGTCCCCATTCACATAAATACAGTAGTAAATACTGTATGTTGGTCTGCAGTCGGAGATTTGTCTCCAGCTGTGCTGGTGAAATTCTCTGCCTCCGATCAAAGAGGATCCCCAGACGAGACTATGTCGAAGGGCAAAGTCTTGTCTCGGGAAACAGCTACCCGACCCCGTTTCACACGGGGTCTACGGGGAATTTTGGCTGAGCCTACCGTCTCGGATACCACACATTAAATTCGAAGTATGTCACATCTGACTGCGTGGGGCGGTTGATATATATCCTGCAGTTGGACATTCGTCTCCAGTTGTGCTGTTCAAACTCTCAGCCAGACGAGGTTATACACCTACCCGACCTCGTTTTATACAGGGTCTACGGGGAAATTTGTCCGAGCCTACGGGCTCTGATACCCCACATTAATTCGGCCTTGTGCCACATCTGACTGCAGTTGGAGGTACATCTTTGGCTGTGCTGATCAAACTCTCTACCTAGAAACAGAGAGGATACCCAGACAAGGTTATGTCGAAGGATAGAGTCTCTTCTCTGGAAAAACCTACCCGACCCCGTTTTACACGGGGTCTGCGGAGAATGTTTGTCTGAGCCTACGGGCTCAGATACTCCACATTAAATTCGGCCTTGTGCCACATCTGACCAAGTGGAGGCGTTGGTAGATATCCTGCAGTTGGAGATTCCCTGTGGAATTCACTTGACTCATTTCTACAAATTGACTACTTCTTCTGCGCACCGCTTATCGAATCTTTTATGTGTTGTTCTTGTCCTGGGTATTATCGTTCATTACCAACCTTCGTTTGATTATTCTATTCAGTAACCATCCCTAGGTTACAACAACTTTCATAGTATTTTGTTTTTATTTGGGGGGTCACTATTTTCCTATTGCTGTACACCATTTTTATATAAATTTACTAAGCATACAGGGTGACCCACATCCATGCTTTCCACCGCCCCACTAATGATTACCCACGTTGAATTTCGATTCTAGATCTCGCCGATGTGTGCCGAAATCTGGGAAAGGGCCTGATGCACGCTCACAAGGTAATAAACGATGAAAAATTACGCCCTGTTAAGAAATGCGAATGTGAACACTGTTTCCAATATAACAATTAAATACTTTATTCAGGGTTTCACTTGCTTGGTCTGGGTGGGTAGATAGATAATACCAGGGGGTAACTTCTGCTATATCAGTCCAACGACTCATCTCTCCCCCCCCCTACGAACGTTGTGACCATCTACACATCCTGATGTGTGGTTTGTAATACGAATGGGGGATATACGCAAGGACAGTCTGTCTCCCACCAAAGACTGTCTAGAACTAATTCCTCTAATACTGACTCTTAATACAGGCCATAAACTAGATACTCTCCGTGTTTGATTTTGTTTTCACTTGTCTCAAAAGCCCTCATCTATTCATTTACACTTCCATTCCCCTTTGGTCAAATTGGATGCTGCTTAAAAAATTTCTGAAAACCAGTTTGCTGGCTATAAAACAGAAACACTTGAAATCGAGACATGATCACACTTTCTTCTTCTACATGTATTCCAATTCAAAACAGGAGAGACTGGTTATTTTATACTGGTCAAGTTGGCTTCCTGTATGTCTCTCGTTGAAACACCAAGTGTAAGCATACAACACGACCCTCGCCCAAGCTTTCCACGGATCGACCAATGATTACTTCACGTTGCATTTTGATTCTTGATCTTCTCGGTGTACACCGAAAGCTGGGAAGGGGACAGTTACATGCTCACCAGGTAAGAAGATGAAAGACAAGCGACACATCAAAAATAAGACCGGGGTTTTTGCTTCTCATTTTCATGTAAATGTTTTATTCGGGGCATCGCCTTCCCACATTGCCTTAACCGGGCCTTGACAGAACCCAAAGCGTGTGAGTTCAATACCCGGTTAAGGCAGTAGAGAACTTGGAGAGCGGAATTAACGAGAGATAACCGATAACTGACATGGCACGTGGAACTAGAACGGTCTACCCCAGTTAGCGAAATAAAGGGTTCAGTTTGATATTCCAATCACCTGAAGAAGGCCGGAGCGTACAACGGCCGAAACGTTGTAATAAATATGGCAACAAGGATTCTGGCCGGAGTTCAAAATCTTTTAGGCAGTCTTGCGAGAAACGTTTTCTCCAGTCTACAAGCGTTTTCCATCTCTATCGCTATTTCTAGTTGCAATTCGCACAGAGACGCTCCATTCGTTAGTCCCAACAGCTGAAATATTTTGTGCTAGAACATGATGATGTGTCGAATCAGCTTCATTTTTGCTATATTCAAAATATAAGGAGACAGTTCAACTCTGGCAGTATTTTTTTCAGTAACTGATACTTTTTTTCAAACTGACTCCCGCGTGAATGCTTTCCTAAACACCGCAATCAAGCGACATACACTACAATTCAAAAGTTTGAAAACGTCCCCAGAATTATCACGAGATGAACTTGAGTAAAGAGGGAAAAAGTGCTCTTAAACTCATTGGAAAAAGAATGGAATCAATTATCAAATTCATACTTTGAGAAAGTTTTGCAACGAATACCAAAAATTTGTGCTGCAGTAAACAAGGTTAAAGGAGGATATTTTGATGAGAGCAAGATTTAATCATAAAATTCTTTTTTTTTTCTTTTTCTCATAATAAAATTTCTAATAAAAAAACATGTCTTTTTCTAACCATATATAATAATTTTCTCTTATTTAAAGTACAAAACAACTACTCTTGGGGTCAATTAAAAAAAAATGACCAGATGTGACCTCAAACTTTTGAACTGTAATGTACATACTTCTTATTCTCAAATTTTTCACTTCCTAACATTTAGTAACGCCACATACATCATGACCGTTTTAACATTAATGCTCTGCTTTGAGTGGTTCTCGTGCACTGTACTGGCTGCACTTTTACATCAATAAAGAAAATATCGCTTATTTGGAATACATATCAGAATACAGTATTGAAGTGGTCTTTCGTTTCCAAAATTAAGATAATTTATTCGATTATAAGACGAGACCGACGTGTCTTGGAGACGGGTCGGAATTCCTTGCCAAGAATTGCCACCACCCAATACTTTGCTCCTTTGTTTAAATCACCAACACCTTTCACCCGGAAATAAATACACAAACCAGAATGACGTTCAAACTGAGTGACCCTTGCAAGAACCCGTGCACCCGGTGGGGGTGAATATACCTGAGGGGGGGCGGTTAAAAATAGATATTTACGTCTCGGCTTTTATTGACTATGTAAATAAAAGCACCGACTGACACGGAAGCCGGGCAAAGACTGATGCTCATCCAGTAAGCAGAACCGCCAACTGACGTCAGTTTACATGCAAGAAATTTTTAAGATGCAAACCAGTCAGGTTATTTGATATTTTTTTTAATCCATTCACCCTGAAGCAAGGTGATAATGCCACTAAGACGCAAGCAATAAATGGGAGGGAAAGAAAAATGAGAAGACTTTATAGAGGAGAAAGTACAATAAAAGAACGTGTTACACAAAGACAGATAACGATTGACGTTGTATTTAAATATTTGAAGAACATAAGTGGCAGTAAAGTCAAAAACCGGATATGTTGCACAGGCGAGAAGTGCGAGAGAAGAGACTATTAGAAAAAAACTTACGGTTACATCTAGCTATTTCTACAGTAATATGATGAGACCTATCAGACAATCTAGTACTACGCATGAAGTCGAGGTAGCAAGAAGGAGTGCTCATTGGAACAATTACCTTGAAAATATTCATAGGAAGGTGATAATGACACTAAGATTATTTTATAGAAAAGATTGAGGGAAGCCATTTATAAGCGGTGGGAATCTAAGTGAAGTCAAGATTCCGCGTCAGGACCAGGGAGTGTCCTATTTTGATGTCATTATGCCAATGTTCACATTCGCGTTTCTTAACGTGGCTTACGTTGTGATCGTTCATTACCTTGTGAACGTGCATCAGGCCCTTTCCCAGCTATCGGCACAAATCAATGAGATCAAGATTCGAAATTCAACGTTGGGTAATTATTGGCGGGTCGGTGGAAAGCATGGACGTGGGTCGCCTTGTATGCTTACACAACACTTGACAGATTTGTTTTTGACGGATTATCAACCAACTGCAGGTTATAGAAAACCAGGAAATATTTTTAGATCCTAAGAATTTTTTGCGGTAATACTGATACAGTTCTTACTATTTAACCCATAACTGGGGGGAGAAGAGGTGGATTTATACCTTTCCCAAAGATATTTGCACATAAGCGAATATAACGATCACAAATGGAACTGGAACTCGGCTCTTCAGTTTAAAATATCCGAGCCATTATCCATTACACCACCCGCACATCCAGGCATACAACAGCTGGTATTCCCAAATGGTTACCAATCTAAGTACTGACCAGGTTCGACGTTGCTTAACTTCGGTGATCCTACGAGGTTTCGATGAGTTGTGGCATTCAAGCTTACGGCACCTGGTATTCCTAAGCGGTCAGTCATCTACGTACTGACCAGGCTCGACGTTGCTTAACTCTGGCGATCGGTGTTTCTACGCGAAGCCTCGCCGTGACTGGAGAAAACTGGAGAGTTTCATCTGTCTGAATGAAATGATACTCACTTTGTTTTTATATTAAAAGAGAGCTGTTAGAGGTTGATCAGATGAGAGATCGGCGTCAAGCTGTAATCATCCTTTTTTTTTTTAATGCACCTATAACAATGGCCTCATCTGTATCGATTTTTACTGATGATCTGAAAATAATCCTAAACCGATCGTTAATATTAATTAACCAAATTTTGCTTCAGGAAACTGATCATCCAGAAGAACCTTAATGGACCTATCTAAGAAAAAGAACGTAATGAATGCCTTTCCATTCAATGTGTTCACCAATGCCACACTGACCTATTGACTAGCATTAAGGGCTGCTTCCAGCGGCACAAGAAATCATCATCATCATCATCATCATCATCATCATCACTCCTTGACTTTTGTAATAATAGGGAGGACGTGAATGCAGAAGCCACGCTAACTCTTTTTCACAACGGTCTATAAACGGCAGCCATCAGCAGTTCTGGTATAGTCAGACCTGTCCATTGTTTTACATTGTCCAATCCGTTTTTGCGTTGGTGTCCTCTCCTACGACCATCTTCAATGGTGCTTTGCATGATGGTCTTGCATAGGCTGTCTTGCCTTGTAATGTGTCCAAACCATGCCATTTTTATACGTTTGACAGTGACGAGAAGAAGTTCATGGTGACCCACAAAACATTCAACCCTTTTCTGCACAAACTCATTGGGGTTTTTTTTGTGCCCAATAGAAGATGCCAAGGTGTTTTCTCATGCATTTGTTCTCAAGGACTTGGATCCTTTTCTCTGTTTCTGCTAAAAATGTCCACGTTTCACATCAATATAGGAGAATGGAAACTAACAGCGATCTGTATATTCTGTACTTTGTTTGAAAGCAGATTTTGATCCACCATATTCTTGCTAATTTGGCCATCGCTGCTAGAGCTGCGGCAATAGATGTGCGGATTTCCAAGCTGGAGGTACCGTCTTTAGACAAAATTGCTCCTAAGTATTTACGGGCCGAGGAACAACAACTAGGTATACAAAAGAATCTAGCTTCATTAATTTGACTCCGTCAGGATCACCATCATCATCATCATCATCATCATCATCTCCTTGACTTTTATAATCATAATGTAGGGGAGATCCGAATGTAGAAGCCATATTGAATCTTCTCCACAACGGTCTATAAACGCCAGCCATCAGCAATACTGGCACACTCATACCTATCCATTGTTTGACATTGTCCAACCAATAAGACGAGTTGAAATTAATACAAACAGAATTTCACAGCACTATAATACCTCGTTCATAGTCAGCTTATGAAATTTTCAGTTCACCCTCATAGGAAACATTCTTGAGTGGGAAATTTTTTAGAAGAACACAATGAGCCCACTTTCCTAGCAACAGACCTGCCAATTCACCCAGTTTAACTTTTCTACTTCATGTCAGCAGAAAAATCTTTAATATATATAAATTAAAATACACCATCATCATTATGATCATGATCATGATCATCATTATTCCCTTGACTTTTATAATCGAAGGTGGGGATCCGAATACAGAAGCCATATTGAATCTCCTCCACAACAGTCTATCAACGGCAGCCATCAGCAATTCTGGTATCGTCATACCTGTCCATTGTTTGACATTGTCCAACCAGTTTTTGCGTTGACGCCCTCTCCGACGTCCACCATCAACGGTGCCTTTTATGGTGGTCTTGTACAGGCTGTTGTGCCTTGTAATGTGTCCACACTACGCCATTTTTCTCCGTTTGACATTGGCGTGAAGAGGTTCCTGGTGACCTACAAAACTTTTAAACCTTTTCCGCACAAACTCATTGGGTTTTTATGAATAATACTGACCCAAACTATTTACATTATTCGTACTATTGTCTTCATCTTTGTCACCATATTTATTACAGCGTTTCGTCCGTTGCACACTTCGGCCTTCTTCAGGTGGTTGGAATGTCGAACTGAATCCTTTATTTCGCTCACTGGGGTAGACTGTTCTAGTTCCACGTGTCATGTTTAATGGATGTCAGTTATCAGTTATCTCCTGTTAATTCCTCTCTATGACACATGGCAAAGTGGAGAAAGGCGTTAGTTAGATCCAGTGACAGGACCCAAAGTTCAATACCCGATTAAGGCAGCGGAGAACTTTCAGAGGGGAATAAAAACAAAATAAACATTACAACTCTAAATGCTTTCCTCCAATTTCAAAAATTACGTCCACTTTCGTAAAAAATAGTGAAATGTTACGCTTAAATAGATTAGAATTATGCTACTATAACTAATTTATCCACTATAATTAATTTATCAAATAGAATATATTTAAATGTCCTCAATATATTAGCGAGATATTCTTAATTAATTACACCTGTATAAACAACACTTATTCTAAAATAAAATTAAAGAAAAAAACGTTGTTTTGCACGACTTGTCTTAAAAATAAACAAATATGCAGAAAGATATGTACATTTTATTGTTATTTTATATATGCGCAAATCATACTTATTATAAAACCCAGGTTGTGTGTGTGTCTGTACGTTTGTATATTGGATCGGATTTCCTACATTTTTCAACCGATTTCAACAAAACTTCACAGGACTACGTAAAATTACCTTGCGGTGGTTCTGACAGCACCAAAAATTGGAAAAATACAATGTTTTTTGCACGAAAACAATTTGAAAAAACGATTAACAGGCATCACGAAAATGAAAGGGGGATAACTCATATCGAGTTATACTTATTATAAAAACCCAGGTTGTTTGTGTGTGTGTGTGTTCGTTTATATATGGGATCAGATTTCCTACATTTTTCAACCAATTTCAACAAAACTTCACTTTTTTTTGGCAGGTAGTGTTTTTATTGTCTTGCACACTTTTTTTCTTTATTTTTTACATTAAGAATGCTTTAAAAATTCCATTTACAAGACAATTGTTTATAATAAAATTAAAATTTAATCGGTAGACTCATAACGATTGAAAACAATGTTTTTGTTTTTTGAGTTTTGAGTTTGACCAAAAAAAAAAAAAAACAAAAAAAAAAAAACTAATTAAGACATGCGTGTCCATCAACCTTAAAACAATAATCTTTGTGAATTTTATTTTTCAGTCTTCATGATGGTCGATACTTGATCTATCTCTTAGTGTTACATCCCCGGGCAACGCCGGGCTCTACTGCTAGTATTTAATAAACAGTATTAACCGGCCTGAACGACCGAAAAATTTCATAGAAATTATGCGTCTCTCGACAGGAACTGAACCTGTATCCTACACGGAACAATCATATTTTTGACATGCTATACCAGTTTAGCTGTTAAATGAGAGAAATGGCAATATTGGACTTTATATATATATATATATATATATATATATATATATATATATATATATGTTTATTAATATAATATATATTTATGATAAATAAAATTTTATGTTGTGTATTTATTTTATGTAAAAATTTGTTCGTAAAATCTGATAAGTTTGATAACATTATCATTAACCGAATGACAAGTATTGGGCCCGACATAAGCAATTTTTACATGTCGAAAAGGATCGAAAATAAGTTATTTACAGATTTTAAAAAAACCATCAATCTACCTAAGATACGTTGATGATATTCTTATGTTAGTTAAAAATACAGATGAAATAATTCAACTTCAAAAAACGGTTCCAAAATAATTTCTGTCCTTAAATTCACATATGAACTCAATACTAATAATAAAATCCCTTCCTTGACATATTGATAAACACAAATAATAACAAATTTACTATTTCGCCATACAAAAACCTACAAGCATAAATTCATGTACAGTTTAACTACAAGAGCGAATGCCCATATTACTACAAAATAGCAATTATAAAGAATCTAATACATCGTGCAGAAACTAATTCATCCACAAAACAGATTTTTACAGTGAACTAAAGAATATAAAACAGACACTTATTAATAATAGCTTTCCAAACTATATAGTTGATGAACAAATAAGATGCTTTCTTAGAAATCTCAATAATAAGCAAATTGTACATAATACTGCTTCTACTGATCTCAAATATATTAATCTCCTATATCGTAATCAAATGCATACTAATTATAAACAAGATGAAAACATAAAAAAATTTAGTAAATTCTAATATATCAACTACAGATCCTAGCAAAAAAATTAAATTAATCATATACTACACTAAATCTAGTATATCCAACTTATTACTTCGCAATGATTCTTCTCCCCGGTTAGCGATTGCAAAAAAAAACCAACATAGTTTATAAATTCAATGCCCTTTGGGAGATTGTATCTCCAACGAATTAAATAATATTTATGTTGGTCACACCACAAACTCGCTTTCACGACGCTTGACACTACATTTTAATGAAAACTCTAACATTTTTAGGCATTTAAAACAACATGCCTGCCCGCATACACAATTCCGTAAAATACTTGTCGAAAAACACAACTATACTTCGACATGAAAACAAGACAAAAAAACTAAAAATACTTGAAGCATTATACATCAAACAGTTAAAACCCAACCTAAACAAAATCAATTATGGAATCTCTACAAATATTCTTAAATGTCTATAATTTTATAATTGGTAACAGAAGCCATTGGTTTATACCAACGGCTTTCCATACTTCATTCTCCAATTCACTCTCGTGTGGTCATGTGTGACGTCATGAGATGCGGTGCGATTTTCGCTTCTAGCGTCTTATATGCGCGTGTTTATCGTTGCTTAGAAATCATCTATGTAAAAACAATGACAGACTATCATCACTGTCGTGTCCGTAT